AATCTTGGTTATATAAATATTGGTTTTTTTATGGAAAAGCTTATGGTTAAGGTTAATCTACACAAATAAATAAATTTTTCAATGATACCCAATTTAGTTTCTGTGTTGCCCAATTGTGTGTCGAGTCCAGGGGTAAATACCCAATTAACTCAAAAGCTTATCTGTAGCTCTATATACATATTCAAAACATTTTGTTTAAAAACAATCATTTTGCTCATGTAATTTGTTATCTGAATGTTATTATTTGTTTCTTAACAAAGAGCAATAGGCAAACATTTTTCATAATGATGATATTAAAGATTATTTAAAGTTTTCTCATTTCTGAAAAAAGCCCTAATCTAATAGCAAAGTGTTAGTTCAGAAATATATCCACAACTCATAAACCACACGGTAAATTTTATTTAAATTTTGCATACAGGTGACCTTTAAGACATATAACTGTCCTATGTTGTCATTTTCACAGTTCCTTATAGTGCCCATTACCCATGGTCTACCTTAATGTGATAAAAATGTAGCTACCACAATAAAGTTGGATATTAAGTTTATGTTTTTCTAAATACCTCATGTATCTTTGGGACAGGACAAAATTATATACATATATATATTGAATAAAATATGTTTACACCAAATATCTCATGCCATACCATTTTGCCTTATTTGTAAATAAAATACAGGCACGCAATTTTCGCCATGAAAAATTGGCTCAAAGAAAAAATTTGCCAGTGCTTTATAAATTGTTGGTCCACTAATATTTTTATTGGGCCACCAAAATTTTACAGTCAGTGGTCCAGGTGGCCACCAAGGTTAAATGGTCTGTTTTTATTTGTTTGGGTCGTCAGACCAAACAAATAATGGTAGCGAAATTTCAGAGTCTAATGTTGTTAATTGCAAATGCCGAAAGTAGTCCACTTTTTTGAAGCGGTTACTTCCCTTTTGTATGTACACTAAAGCCGAAAAATTCAGGGGAGATCACTGCGTAAAGATGGTCAAAGACAGGCGCATCAATTTTCAAGCAATGTAATTACCGAATGGTCGAAGATTTCTAATATTGTTTTATTGTATTTTCTGATCGAAAATAACTAAATACAAAGCGGACATTCAATCTCTGACACAGGAGTTTACGACAAACCTAACAACAAGTAGTTCTCAAAACAGCTTAAAACTAGCGATTTAAAAGAAAGAAATATTTTATTTTGTTACAAGTATCCAACAAATTACAACGCATTTAAAGTTAAACAATAGCGTTGGCTTATAGAATTGTCAATAAATGCACAATTACAAATTACGCGGTTGAATATGATTTTATCAATGAAAATACTATTAATTACCGAATACTACACAAACCGAGTAGTAGAATATATAGATTCTACATGTCGGACCGTTTGGGCGAGAGGATTTTCGCTAAAATATTTACTTCAATTTTAAACAACAGGTTTACCCTGAACAAAATACCTCGAAATTAATAAGGATACAAACCCGAAATGCAATGGAAGTTCTAAATTTAGAATGACTTGATATTATTCAGACTTACTGTGTATAACTTCTCCGTGGTACAGTGGTAACGCGCTCGCTTCGTAAGTGAGAGTCTCGAGTTTGAATCCCAGTCGAGGAAAATTATTTTTTTGTTAAATTCTTTTTTAAGTGTTTTTGTTAAGGAAGTAGCCATGATATGCAAGGATAAAGTGTGACTGTCGTAAAAAATGAACATAAATGATTTTTTGATGCAACTCTAGTCATGCAGAATTCCGTATGTATCAAACTCTGGTGCCTTGCAAAATGAATTATAATACATAAAAATAAACCTATACAGGAAAATGCATACAGATAAACAGTACGATTTAGATTGCAAAGATCAGAAAATACCACAGAACTTGCAGCCCTTTGATTCTTTATAAATATAAATGTTTATAGTAAGCTCCAGGATTATTTACATCTTTGTTAAACATTAGTTAAAGTCGTTACAAGCCCTAATTTAGAATAATATGGTTTTCTTCAGCCCGTTCACATATAAATTCACCGTGGCTGAAGGTTTTCGGGCTCGCTCAGGCAAGCGAGAGGTCTGGAGTTCAAATCCCAGTAAAGGTAACTCATTTTGTTTTCAAATTGTTAAAGTCAAATAAACATTGGATTGAATATCAGTGTTGCAATTAGTCTTATAGCCAATTTACTACAATTAAAACGCTGGAAAGCATTGGTGGCACTATACATATAATCTCACAACCTGCACCTTTCTTACATTCTGAGACCCAAACAAATTCAGCGCCTTCTGTGCTTTGATTATCCCTGGAGATGTGTACATGTGCCGAAAGTGGCAGGAGGTCAACCTAAATGTTGAGAGATACATACTGATTCAGGAACAGGAAATGGCAGGATGTGGATCTAAATGTTATAGATATGTTTTGGTATAGGAAATGACATTAAGTCAACCTTAACATAACAGATGTGAACAGGAAAATAATTTTGTCAACCTATATGTTTTAAGAGGGACAGGAAATGGCTTTAAGTTAACCTTAATATGAAAGAAATATTTGCAGGCAATGGAAATGGCATGAAACTAACCTAAATGCTAAATATGTGTACAGTACAGGAAATGGTAAGTCTATCTAAATGTTATGGGTGTGTACAATTACTGAAGAAAAGGTATAAACTGATGTGTGTAGGTACAGGAAATGGTACAGTATAAATGTTAATAGACATGAACATGTACAGAAAATGGCATAAAGTCAACCTAAATGTTATAGATATGCACATAAACAGGAAATTAGAGGGGATTCAACCAGTCATTTAAAGCTATGGATGATGAAACTATATATCAATTTCAACCAAATCTATAGAAAAGTTAAGGAAAATAACCTTGTAATGAAACTTTTGTGTCAAAGGGAAACAAATTTGTTTGTTTGTTTGTTTCATTTTACGCCTTTTCCCAACAGTATTTCAGTCATATAAGCGGGTAGTTTCCTAACCATCGTTCCTGGAGAGTTACACCAGTACTAGACTAACTTTCCTCCGTGCTAAACTACCAAAGCATCTCCCGGGGATCAAACCCACGCCAGAGAGGTAACTGGATTAGAAGTTATCGACACTAACCCCTCGACCACAGAGGCGGTCAAAACAAATCTTAGTCACTTCTAAGTTATCTGCCCTTGAATCAGAATTTTTTACTTATTTGAGGTCAATTTAAAGGCAGATAGCTTAAACGTATGTCTATATAATCTTGTTTATACTTCTGGATGATTTTCTTTTTATTGTTATTACAATACATAATTACAGGTAATTCCATCTTATTTCTGTTAATTTTTTTTCAGTTTGAATAAAAGGACTTAAAATTCTTTAAAGAAATAGGCCATTATTTAAGAAAAAAAGTCACAGGTTTAGAAAAGAAGGGGAAAAAAAGCCAATCTACTTACTCTTTATCCTTTTTTGAAATTTTGCACATTGACTCAAATGTAAAATAAGCAAAAAATAGGTATTATTTACCTTTATTGTGAATTATCTGCCCTTGATTTAAGCATTAAAGTCCACTTCAGGAGCAGATAATTCAACAACGAAGACGGTGACCCCGCCCCCTTTTTTTTCATAAAATTTTCTTAGAATGTTTCCATTATCATATTGTAACATGCCAAATTTTAATAGAGTCTACTGTACAGTGTTAATTCTGCCTATACAATGTATGTCTATATGAAAACTTCCAAAAAGGTCTTTAAAGAAGTTATTGCACTACAAAGGGCCATTCTACACTGTATATGAAACATCTTTTTCAAGTTCACCAAACTCGGAGTACCTTATCTTTACTCCTGACTGTACCTGCATTTTTTTGCAGACAACAAGTTTTAAAGTGTATAAAGCTATATATCTGATAGAAAAATTATTGTTTGAATTTTAAAAAAGTATACTTCCAAAATGCTTGTATGAAATAAATAAGGTAATTTATTGCCTTAAAAGCAAATGGTGTATTGCTAAACTGATAAAACTCTTCTTAAAATAGCAAAATAATATTTTAATGTACAAGAACATTTTATTCTGTTTATGTACATTAGTCATGCGTATTAAATAACAGAGACATTCTATGTTACAACTTTTTCAGAAATCAACCATATAACAATGGAACCAATATAATTTTACAGTTGATAAATTCTATTAGAAAATTCATAAGATATAGATTTATACCCTTTAAGAATCACACAGAATAATTCAAAGTCCCCAGAAGAATTCAATAGCAAGAGATATCTTGCAGAATTTTTAACAACCAAGTCACCAGAATGCATCAAATTATGTAGAAATATTTACACATACTATAACAGGGTTTGCAAAATTATTGTAACAAAATCATAGTTCTGGTTTATTTTATATACAGAATTTATTTTAGTTTGATTGGGTAGGAAGCTTAATTTAAAGCTTATAGACACACTTTCGAATCCATTCCAGGAACCAACTAGTACTGAGCAATGAGTGTAAAGTTTCTTGTTCAAGGAAACAACAACTTGCCGGGGTTTGCACCCATGAGGCTAGCTTACTAGTCTGACATGTTAACCACTTGGCCTTGCAGCCAGTATCTGCAAAGGCAGGCTACATTTGAAGTCACACAAAATCACACTATTAACTTCTTGACACATTAAAATTTCAAATTTAAAGCTGCACGCCTCCAGATGAGCCAAAATATTTAAAGAAAATCAATATTAAGAAAAAGGCACTAAATTTTTAAGAAAGGAATAAACATTCAAGATCCAAGTTATATATTACATGTTATGTGTGATTTTACACTGATTTTGTAGTAAGGGCTGATTTTGCATACGTTTCCACTTTTTGGTAATTTTCGTGGATTGAATGTGATGATTGCAAATATGTTAATTACTTTATTTGTTCACCTCACATGTTTTACTGTCAAATACATTTTCAAAATTATTGTGAAAATTAACATGAAACTGGAGGCGTGCTGCTTTAAATGTAAATTTCATAAACATCAAAGAAAATAACAATCAGTAAACTCTAAAACTTCACTTACCAGATTATCAACTGGATAAAGTCTCTGAATTTCTGTCTGGCTTCATGTCCAACTTTCAAGATATTCTTGGTTCTCTCTTATTGTCTTACGTAGCCACTTTGTAACCCACCTGAAAATAAAACAAGATTGCAATTGTGAAAAATGCTATGCCAGCACATTAATACAACACTAAATAGTAGTGTAGGAACAGATTTTTTTTTGTTTCTATACAAATGAAGATTGCCATAATGCATACTGATCACTGACCTATCTAATTCTTATTATAAGATTAGTGGTTAAATCTATTGTTATTCAAATAAAAGATAAGAGTAGGAATCTATCAATTCAGTTGAGTCTAGTGAATTAGGTGGTGAAGGTCATGTATCACATGACCAAAATTTCATGACTGTACATCAAAGGACAACACAGTAAGACACTTTGTCAAAATCTAGGCCAGCTGATTTACATCTTAATCTGTGCACATGGTTCAAATTTCATAGCTGTACATCAAAGGACAAGAAAGTAGGTCACATTGTCAAATCCTAGGTCACCTGATATCAAAGTTCAATTTTACAACTAAAACTGTATACATAGTCCAAATTTCATTGCTGTACATCAAAGGACAAGAAAGTATGTCACTGTCTCCTTGGGCAAGGCAAAATTTTGACCCAAGGGTTTAATTCAAACAATCTTGATACAGGTCCACCAAACAACATTTCATATCAAATATCTAAGCTGTAGATTTTACTAATTCAGAAAACATTTGTTTTAGTTTCTGTTTTTACTATGTGCACATACTGAAAATCAATGCCCCCAGGGACAAGCCAATTTTGACCCCAGGGGCAACATTTGAACAACTTTGGTAGAGGACCTATGGATGATATCATAAAGCAAACATCAAAGCTCTAAAGCCTTGTACCTTTAGACAAGAAGATTTTTTTTAAGTTTTTACTATGTACATATAAGGAAAACCTATGACGCCCCCGGTACAGGCCAATTTTGACCTCAGGGCTATAATTTTAATAACTTTGGTAGAGGACCTATAGGTGTTATCATATACAAAATATCAAAGCTCTATTAGCCTTGTACCTTGAGACAAGATACGTCATATCATATACCAAATATCAAAGCTCTAGGCCTTGTACTTTCAGACAAGCAGATTTTTAAGTTTGCATTTATTAAACTCCTTTTCTAGCCCCAATCCATTCAAAAATAACAAAGTTACAGCCAATAATAGCAAGAACAAGCAAAATTTGGACTTTTGACCTTGAAGGTCAAAGTCATTTATGGATGAAGGTCAAGGTTAGTGTAGTCTATTGACAGGTCTTGTCCCAAGGGTTGTTGTGGCCAAGTATGAAGACAATACAACAAGAACTCATGATCCAGGTACAAGTTTGTGGAAGTCAACGCCGCCATGACTATAACAATACCTCTACTTTTTTTTTCAAAAAAAAAAAAAGTTGAGCTAAAAACCACTGAAACCATACATGATTGGTTAATTGACCTTTTCAAAAACCTAGCTTAACACTGTTTTCCGTTATGTTAGGGATTTAGCTCTGTGGAATTACACCTAATTAAGTACATAACACTGTTACGTGATATTTCTATTTTTTTTATCATTATTTTACCGTTTAATGTGGAAAAACCTGATGTGTTTGAAAATTATCAATATTCCTTTAATATCTATCTCAAATTTTACAAAAGAAATTGTTTATAACGAAAATCTATAAAATCTGGAACTTCTTCTGTCCATGCTAAAACATACTTAGTTGCATCTGTCATAATACATAGCTATACTTTCAGCGTAAAAGTGTTTATTTACTTTATATCTTTTTTGCATGGAATTATTCATACAATATTATAGTATTTAATCATGTTCTTAAAAGAAATAATTGTTTTATTTCACTCAAATTTAAAAACTACCATTAACATCAGATCGCGATCGTTACTACACGGCATTTATGAATGATTTAGATGAGTGATCTAGACTAATCAACCCTCTCCGGTCACCGGTCTTTGACCCTCACCGATTTACAAAGACCTTCTACTATTGATCTTTTACATTTATTGTCAATAAAATTCTCGAAACAAAGTTAACGTTTTTTAAAAAAATTTGAAAATAGTTAAATGAAATATCTTTAAATCATTAAAACATTTCTTCGCAAGAAACCATTTTAACTTGTTGTATATGGAACATTTTTATCAAGATTCACACTATTTTCACCAAACTGTACCTAATACCTATACTCCTGACTGTACCTTCATTTTTGAAGATACACAAGTTTTAAGAAACACACAAATTAATTCAAAGTCCCCATAAGCATTCAACAGTAAGAGATATTTTCCAGAATCTTTAACAACCAAGTCACCCAATGCATCAAATTATGTAGAAATATTTACACATACAATTACAGGGTTTGCGAAAATTACTGTAACAACTAAATCTTAATTCTGGTTTATTTTATATACAGAATTTATTTTAGTTTGATTGTGTAGCTTATAGACAAACTTTCGAATCCATTCCTAATGAAGTTTTTTGTTCAAGGTAACAACGACTTGCCCCTGATGGGGTTTGAACCTATGCAGCTAGCGATCATTAGATTACTAGTCTGACCTGTTAACCACACAGCCATGCCACCACTATCTGCAAAGGCAGGTTACATTTGATGTTGCACCAATTCCAATTATTAGCTTCTTAACATGTTAAAATTTCAAATTCAAATGTAAGCTAGAAATGTGTCCATAGGACACGGACGCCCCCACACACCACTGTTTTGTCAATCTTATGACTCTAGGTCAAATATTTTTTGGGCTACATGTGCCACAAGTTCAAAACTAAAAATCTTTTACTAAGTAAAGGGCAATAACTTTACAAATACTAAAAAATCCACAAGCAAACCCTGAGGTGCATAAGTACACATGCTGACCAACATTCTTCTAAACTTTCAGGCCTGCAGGTCAAATTCTTTTTGAGCTACCCCAGTAAAAATGTCAGTGGAATACCAGTGGAATACCACTGTATTCCAGTGGTAACCATAAATCCACTGGTATTCCACTGGAATACTACATAATACCAGTGGAATAACACTGCATTTCAGTGGTTATTATAATTCCACTGGTATTCCACTGGTTTTTCACTGGTAACCTATATTGAGTAGTGGTATGCCACTGGTCAAATTAATTTCAGTTGTAAACCACTGGATTTCCAGTGAACTTGGTGACTTTATAATATATATACAATTTAATAAGGACACTTCCAGTGGACTAATTTTTACCATTGGTATGTACAATTACGACATGAAAAAAAGGTACCATCCAAATTGTCTCTGATCATATTTGTGTGTATACATGTTGGTAATCTGAGGTCAAAAATAGAATTCTAGGGTAAACATCATAATCAATATAGTCATTACAATTAAGTAATTGAATTATTTACTCACAGTTAAAAACAATTGAATAATATAATGTTTCAATTATATGATAGAAATACAATCATAGTATAAATTTACTGGATGATTAGACAGTCATGGTTCAAACCAGTATATCGATCCCCCCTGTGAAATAGTGTTCTTGAAATCATGAACTTTTCAATACATTTAAGAACAGTCACGAACTGGTCCTAAACACTTCATAATGATTGTTCAAGAACTTATGTTCATGAACAGTTCTTCAAGCTTGTTCATGAACTGTTCATTGGCATAAAAAGAACGAAACCAAATTCTTTAAAGGTTCATGAACTTAGGATCATGAATTATTGAAGAACTTTTGATGAAGACCATGTGTTCATGATTTGTTATTAAATAACTACAGAAATAGAATGATTACTGGTCAAGAAATAGATAAAGACCTGGGCAGATTAGCACAGGCCCAAAACAGTTTTTTGCATAAAATAAAGACATCAGTATTTTTTTTTATTGCTTGACCATGGAAATTCAATCAGTCGATTCTTTAATAAAATTCCCCAATTTTTACTCAACCAACTTATCTATCTATATACTGCAGTAGTGCTTTCTTCTTTATTTGTTTTAAATATGAAAGTGTATGTGGCAGGTCATATTAACATGTACTTCAGATGCTGACGAAAATTAACGATGATAACTTACCCAGCAAACATTAACGATTATACTCGAGCAATATCTGTATATTTACGCTAACCAAGACGATAAATATAGGCATAATTCATGACGTATTGGATACGTATACTGATGAAGTAGCAACACAAAATTTTTGGAAACTACGGTAGCTTTGTTTGAAATTCAAGTGCCTGTTGGGCTTAAAATAATAGATTTGTGAAATAAAATTTGTAGGCCTCAATGATATAATCAAAATTATTCAGTCATTGTCATACATGCCATGGACAATCCCTGAAAGAAGGTGTCTGTCCCGGAGATGATTTATGTCCCGGTAAAAAAAAAATCTAAAATAATCTACTTTGAAGCAAGAAATTTTACTTTTTTTATATAATTTTATTGTCAAGTTTTTGTAAACTTATCTAGAACGCTAATAACGAACGATTATCCCCTAACAGCATTGCAATGCAATGGTGACACTAATCCTTTGATTGGTATATCTACGTGCCCCTTCCAACATTCAATATTCGGCAATAATTTTGATTAATTAAATGATTAATTACCCCTTGTGTCTTCCTGAGTGAAGGTGTCATACACTGGCCAACTGGACAGTATAAATTTAATCTGCCTGGAGACATTTATTAGTGGTCAAACACCGTGAAAATTACCGCTAAATATGAGGTGATAAAATACAAGATTCAGCGAATGTTTCAGGTAAACGACGTGGGTAATTGTCATTACTTAACAGAGCTTTATTCTTTTCTGTGACTGATTGAATTAACGATGCCTAAATACTTAAAAAAGATAGAAAAACAGTTAATAATTATTGACATTCTGACTTTGTTTATGGTGTCATTAAATTTGCAAGTTGTAATTACCGGTTATAGGGCCTATAGGTTGTATGCCACTATGTAAATTAAAAAAAAAAGAAATACGTTTGCTGATCAATGCCCCACCTTCAAATGAAAAGTGTCCCGGAAATGAGTCTAAAAATTATGGCATGTATGGTCATTGTATTGACGGCAAAAACAACGGAATTACACGAAATTATGAAAATCGA